ATCTAAGTTATCACAAACATGCAGTGATGTCCTAAGAACTGCACCTATAAAGAGATTAGTAGTTTATCCTCTTTTTGGACAAATGCTAACCACTGTTGATAGCAAACAAAGACCAGTTCTTTCTAAATACTTGGTATATTGCACCCTTGGGAAAGAACAGAAGAAATAAATGCTAAAATAGAATCTCTTGCTATCTGCATTTAAGGCACAGATATTCTTTCATCTTCTCCCGATGACATGTTCCCTGGATTGAGTCTGGAATGAAATCTGACACTGCATTGTACCCTGTTAAATTGCCACTGATTTAATCTTATAAAAACCTTTTTGCATGCAGACATTAATGATCCCCTGACAGTGATTACTGAATAGCACAAAAGAGCAGTTCTTCTAAATGGCTTTCTTAGTGGTTGTTGTTTTGGTATTATTTTAAAGACTAGTACTGAGAAGTAGGGTTTTCAGTAACTAGCGTTTAGCTTTTATCCTTAATGAGCTGGTGTTTGTGTCCCTCAAGTGCAGCCCTAAAGTCTGTTTTAGGAGTCTCCCAATGCATTTATTGTAACAACAATAAAAAAATTTCTTCTTGCAGAAGAAATACTGGTTCAGATGGTTGCCTGATAGGAACTTGGAGCATTCAGGTGGAAAGAAATGCCTTTCCTTTTCCAGTGCGTGCCTCTAACACCTGACTGATGAGAGCATTCAAACTCCTTTGGACATAAACACTCAGAGGTTGAGACGAAATGAACTCATGAATTCTGGTGTTCAGGGAGGGTATTTTTTGGTATGGAAGGTGAACGGTTCTAAAAGCTCTGAGAATATGCCTCCCTCTGAGATGTTACTTGATCCACAGATAGCAGAGACTGTTATCAATGCTAAAGCTGATGATTAAGGTCTTGTCTTCACCGAGAATGTGGTCTGATTTTAGCTGTCAGTGGATAGTTGCTGAGCACCATGCAAATGCTAGTCCAACTGAAGTACACCATTGTAAGCCACTATTTTTAATGAAAACCAACCTGATTTGACATAGGGGAAAAAATGTACAGCAAAAAAAAGTGCATTTTCCTGCTGCTTCTAAGGTTTGCTGGGATGCAGTGGCTGAAACTGAGGCAGACCTCCACTGTAGATAACATTCAGTAATTTATATACACTTTAGACTCTTTGGATACCAAAGTAGACCTTTGTTTTGAAAATCTGAGTGAGGGCATCGGTGTGCAAGGGGTAAGCTGGTTTCAGTTGGGCCTCAGTTTGGAGATTTAACTAGTGAAATGAAAGAACAAGGGACTATACCTAAATTCTCTGTGGGAAAGACTCACTTGATTATAATATGGTAATGTGAAGTATGTCTCTATGGTTTAATAGCCCTTCATTAGAACACAGCGATGTATTCTTAAAATCCTTAGAAATGAGTTTCCTCCGGATAGCATAGGGAAGTCTGGCATTTGTGCATCAGCCAGTTCAGTTTTAGGTGCTGATCCTTTGATACGGTAGTGAGATCAATCTTTGATATGGTAGTGAGGGCATGTGCAATTCTTCCAGGAATTCCTAGTGCTTAAAATACTTAAGTGGAAGGCAACAAGACTGAGGAAAGGAATATTTTGTGGTATAAGATCAGCTTCTGCTCCCTAGAAGCCTTTCTTAACTGTTTGTGTTGAAGCCATATTGGAACTTAAGTAGGACAGCCTCACCCACTGTAGTTATTTCAGAAAAGACATTAATTTGTCTTAACAAAGTGTGGTGTTTTAATGGAATTAGTTAAAAGACACTATTTCCCCTACCTATGAATACAAACATTGTTTTAGGTAGTGGGAAAAGCTTGCTCATTTTCTTTCATTGGTGTCATGTAACTAAAAAACCCAATCTTGGAATGACGGGGGTATAGAGCTGTTGTTCTTTCTTTCATATCTTTTCTTTCTGCTCTCTTCCCCTCTTTACTGTCTTAGTGTACATATTCAAAATGGAAAGATTTTTCTGATTGTACTGAGACAAAAGCCCTAAACCTAAACCAAACTGTAGAAAACTTCTTGCTAGAAAAGGAGTTTCATTCTCTGGATTTTCTTCCTCTCTTTTAAATCTTGCCAAGTCCTATGTGAAATCATGTGTTGCAACTGAAGCAGACGTCCGTAACATGCATAGTAAGCAAAGAAATTCTGCAGGTGGCCATGCTGAGGTTGTAGTCGCAAGGTTTTGTTTATCTAGCCAAATGAGATTCATACAAGAGGGCTGCTGGTAGCTTATGTTCATAGACACTGCCACTCTGACAAATATATCTTTGTCGTGTTTGAATACACATGGCTTATGTTCTTGTCATTATAAATACATTTCCCTATCATGCTATCAGAAATGCTTCTAAACAAAATCATCAGTGACAGGCTGAAAAATATACTAAAAACACAAAGTAGTTTTTTTCTTTAAAAAAACATATGGAGATCCAAGCACTTGCTGGTGCTTAGGCAAAGACTTTCTTTGGGTGGAGTTTTGGAGGGAAAGTAAAAAAAAGATTGCTAAGACAAATTTTGAGGAGAAAAAAGATCACATTGACTGATATATTGCTGTCAAGGTGTGATTATTCTGTGAGCATTAATTCTTTACCTGCTGCTAACAATCAGCTCTGAAACCATGTCATTATTTTCTGTTGAACTGAATTTGTAGCTTTTCAGACTGAAAATAATCTCTTGAAAATAAGGGTTGAGTTAATTCAGTGCTATGTTGTATTTCTCAATCAGACAGAAAACATCATTCTAGGAGGCATGAAGTGCTCCTGTTCCATCCTGGCGGTTAGTCTTTGAAACTCTGGTACACTCAGTGTTTGCATTCTGTCTTGCTTGCACTCAGTTTTTCAGCTGGTGCTCTAACTGTGCAATATGAAGTTTCTCGGCATTTCCTTGATGCAACAGTGCTCCAGGGACAGCTATACAATAGCTAAAATTTCCAGTTTCACATTTGTACTGGCAGAATTATGGTATCCCCATGACTAATACAAAAATGTGGCAGAAGGTAATGGAAAGAATATCAGTTGCTTAGCTTGTCTCAGTAATTGTATTTACCTAATTAAAAGGCTATGTTAAATTAATCTGGTGAAATTCTGGTCTGGAGATCCCCATTTTGCACAGGAAGGGGCTATAGGAATTACACTGCTGTTCTGCCTCTTCTTAAGTCACATCTTAGTCTCTCCTTTCCTTACCCCACCACTCTCCCTTCTGAATCTCTTCTTTTCTTTCTTTTTTTAATTTTGGGAATGTATGTATCCTTTCTCTGTTCATTTAAAATGTGAGATAAAGAGAGGCAAGCATCAACTGTTGTGTGTTTCTTTAAAATTTTGTCTAAGAAAGAACTTCAAAAAGACAAAAGCTATCAATTCTTAGCAACAGTATTCAGTATTCTTTCTACTTTTATCATAACCAAAAAGATTCTTCCTCTACATGGTCAATAAACTTCCCTCTTCTGAAAGGGTCCTTCCTCACACCCCTTCCTCCATACACAGCTTCTTAACAAAACCAAAGAACACTTTCTTCCTTAAAGGAAATTGTGGAAGTTGTGTCCATCAAAAAAACCTTTTTTCTTTCTCAGGCTTTTCTACCTTTTTGATTTTATAGGATGGCACACTGTGGCCTCCACCCTGTTTTCTTTCTGCATCTTTAGCTTTATTTCCACTTTAGGCATACTACAAAAGTTTTGCCAAAAGAACAGTGTCAGGCAGAAGTGCAATCCCCCATTTTTCCCCTGCCCTCCTTAATAAGATAGAGGTACTCACTAATTACAGCTGTACTCCTAAAACCAGAAAAAAAAGGTCACTTTGCTGGTGAAACATCCTTTCTTCAGGAGGCCGTACTGCCAGGAAACTCTGAGCTACCACCAACAGTATGGTTCTGCCAGTACATACACTGCCAAATCCTTTTGTGTTTAGATCTGGTCTCTCTTTCAAAAAAATCAAGGAACCCATTCTCTCCTCTTTTGCTTCTATATTTTTTTTTCTACATGTGTTTATTCTTTCACTGTGCAATTGCACTTTGTAATTTTTTTTAAAAGGGTATAGCAGCATTACACAACATGTACAGTGCAGTGGTTTTGATTAGTCCATTTTAGAGTTTGAGATTAGAACAACAAATAATTATCAAGCATTTTAATGTGACTCCATGTAAAGGCCTCTCTCTGTTACTGAAATACTCATGAAAAATACCAGTACAAATAATATAATTCATCTTGAAAAAGGGTATAATCTGCCATCAAACTCTGCTAATAATCCTGTATTAAAAGTGCCATTCCTGCTTCTACTGAAGAAACACAGTGGAGAACAAGATTTTTTTTTAAAAAAGGTACAGGGAGGTCTACCAGCAGTTTTGGCCTAACTGGTATCGCATGATCCGAAAACTTAAGGGCACGCTTCTGGAGAAAACACCGCAACCACCCGAGCATTATTCGGAAACATAACGGTTTGTGCATGCAGTACGTGCATTTAAGGTTGCAATCCAGGCCCCAACGGCTGCCCCGGGGAAGTCGACCCAGCAATTCCTGGCAGAGCAGGACAAGTTAATGAAAATACCTTTGGTAGCATGTAACCTAACCAGTATCGACTATGCTGCTTCCTATACAAGTATAATAGACGTCAAGATGTATCACTAGCGGGCTAATTAAAAGCAGGCAGTAAAATGTGGATATTTTGGAATTTTGTTAAAACCGGTGCACTTTTCTGTTATTTTTTGTACTGTTTTCTCAGTCTGCTTTTAGAAGGAACTTTCAAGTGTATTTCTTAAATTATATTTTACATTTATTACCAGTCAGAAGTGTAAAGTTAAGACATTTTAAAATAAATATTTGCATTTAAATTAAAACCGTTGCCGAGCGCGTTTCCTTCTCCGGGGGCCGGCGGCTGCAGGCCGCAGGGCCGCCGTCCCCTGATGCTTCCCAGCATCCCGGTCGCGCCGGCCTCCGGCCCGCCAGGGGGCGCCA